CACTTTTAGTGTTCTTTCAAAAATGACATGCTACTCACGTTCTCTTAGACTATGAACAACCTGTAAATAACCCTAAATGGGACCATAGTGGACTTTCACTATACCAAAAACCTATTCAAGTTTAGTTCCAGTCCTAAAACGCTATTCAGTGGAATCATTAATGAATTAATTGATTACAGTAACTCGGGATCTATAAAAGGTGAAACTTATTCGTATTTTATATAATAACAAGAAGTAGAAATGAGGGTAAAATAGCTGCTGCAATCGTGGAAATGCAGGAATATGCAATTAAGAAGTTGACTTTTGTAAGTTTACTTTATAAAAATTCAATGCAAGCATCCATTAATGACTTTTTCAAGCCTTACTAATACTTTCTCTTTTGGTTCCTGTGCTCCCTTCATAATCCTGAACCATTGGCTTTTATTATATAAGCAGTCAATTATCAGACTTTGTAAGTTTACTTTATAAAAATTTCCATATTTGTATATTCGATCAGGAGAAATTGGTAATGCTTCCATTTCTCTTTTCGAATAAATGATAACTGGTAATGCAAATATAAGGATCAAATCAGAAAGTTTGACATTACACCCTGTAATGATATAGCAACGGATGAGGCACTTCACAAAATAACCAAAACTGAGCAAAATCGAAGATGTCATCTCCTTCAGCAGTATCTTTTTTGGTAATACGAGAAATACATGCATAATCATTGATAGATAAGGTAATGAATGAAGGAGTAAGTGCATAAATAAGCCATCACAACTGAAAAGTTAGGTAAATGAATACATTATATACATATGGATATATCTTAGAAACCAAAAAATATATAGGATTAAACATTTTTTAAAAATGTCTCGAATATCCAATTATGTATATTGGGCTGTCGCTGATATCGCGAGTGGAAACAAAGGAACAATAATCCCCTTTGTTGAAAGCCAGACGTTTTTGTTGTATAGGCTCATGTCGTTTTAACCCTATACCAATGCGCCCTCCATAAGGAAGCTAATTCTTGTAATCATAAAACGGTACAGGGACTCTTCCACTTGAGGAAGCGGAAGGTCCTGAACGCCAAATCACTTTGAAAAACGCGTTGTCGGTTGGTTAGAGAATATCGGGCGTATTTACTCTTCTTTATTGTTGATGTTTTCGTCATTAATTTGTTATGTCGAGGTCGTAATTGCGTGTTCGTTGTTGTATTGATAGATTTGTCGCTATAAAGCTTTAATTACCCGAGTTTGAGGTACTATCAACTAAAGCGGCAGAAAGAACCCTCAGTCCTTACCGCGGTTGAAGAAAATCGGCAACATGGGCCAAAATGTTCAATCGCTTTTTTGAATTTCTGTTCATTCATTTTCGATCGTAGTGACCATAGTCGTAATGATCACTCGAATGTAAGAGTGCTCGAGAAATGCATCCATATTATCGTTTACTAATTAGCTAATCTACTACTCAATTCAAAAAGCCATAAGGAAATCAGGGAGACAACTTTAACTCACCGAGAGGAGATAGTGCAGTTTCTTGAGAGGAAGCGAAGATTAACATTTTTCGCGAAATAATGTAGTAACAGAGAGATTTAGAATAAGGCGGCAGGAATTCAATTTGCGATATGGGAAGAAATGATCGAGAATGATTCAGAGGGATGACGTGGTGCATGGGATATTTCGACGAGCTTCGAGATGAAGAATTCAATTCAGGAATCGGCGGATACAACGACAATAACAGCACTATCGCTGGATTGTTGGGTAAAAGAGAGACTGAAGAAGTGGGTGCAGCTGTCCGGACACGAAGGTTGGGTCTGCTTCTTTGCTTCTTCTTCTTCCGTCTTGCTTGCATCTTGTGTGGTTACTGTATTATTATACGTTTCTTTCCTACGCTCACGTTTTTCAATACCTCTTATTATTGTACTGCTGTCTTATCATCCAGATTATCTTATCGATTCATCGAATATGTTATCCTGCTGTCTTAATTTTGGGAGTTATTTTACCCATAACTACGCCATCCTAATTAGTGGTCCTCTTTAAATTTGCAGGAACAATAGTTCCTGCGACTGACAAAACATTGTGGAAGAAACGATCGTATAGCGGTTCCAACGAAGGTAATGCATATCGTGCGTTAATGAACGATCCTGCTCTGGAAGCTTTCGTACCTCGGTATTATAGAGAAGTCGAATATGAAAATGATTGTTAGTTCTAAGATGTTCACTTGCATTTTCCTCTTTTCAACAAAAAAAAAGATTTTGCTCATTCAAGTTTGAAGGGAGATAGATGATAGGCTGTATTATTGACTAAATTTCGAATCTTATTTCTTTGTTCTGTCTTTCTCGTTATAGAATTTTTCATCATGGTTTCCACACTTCATAGGTATTTTTGAAATAAACTTTTTTTTGAATGGCGACTATTTGATAGTGAGGCAGTTTGGCGTATAACTGGCTGACTGGCTTTTTCATACCGCAGTGACAGATGTGCTTGTGAAACGTTCATTGATTTCAGAATGCGATTTTTTTTTTGTTCAATGTACAAATCATATGGTATTACAGCTTTTATCGAAATCGAAGATCTTACAGCTCTCTTCGATGAACCCGCGATAATGGATATCAAGATGGGGATCAGGTAAAATGTTGAGAGCGATCGTAATGCATTTATTCAATTTGTCAATTTCTTTATGGCATATCTTTGTTTATGCGAAGACGTTCCTTATCAGTGCAATATTAAATACTTTCAGAACATTTTTGGAATCTGAGGTTAACAATAAGACTGTACGAAACGATTTATATGAAAAAATGATGTCATTGGATCCCTACGAACCTACAGAGGAGGAACATGCTGCTAAAGCTATAACAAAAATGCGTTACATGCAATTTCGAGAGAAAGAAAGTTCTACAACAACACTGGGTTGTAGGATTGAAGCTGCTAAAGTTAGTTTGCGCTGATGTGATGAGACGTTCCGTAAATTTTAGGGAAATAAGCTGTTCTAGACGAGATGTTTTGCAACTTGCGACTTTGTTTTAAAAGATATATTTTTTAGATGCCAGGTGGGGTTTTGCAAAAAAGCTTCAAGAAAGTTAAAACACATAAAGATGTCAGTGGAACGTTACTGAAATTTTTCGACCAACACATATCAACAACTGGTTTTCATATTTTGCAACGCCTGAAAAGATTACGAGAAGCTGTTCAAAAATCACAGTTTTTCCGAACTCATGAAGTTAGAAATTTTTGCTTTCGTTAGCTTTGCATTATGTAGTTGAAAACACATTTTCGAAATAAGATGCGAAGGTCGTGACCCCCAATGCCTTGATGATCAATGCCTTGATCACTGAACCTGAGTTTCATTTAGGTGTTTGGTAGTTTCTTTTTTATGGAAACTGATATATTACTACAGGTTATTGGCAGTTCGTTACTATTGATGTATGATGCAACATTTGCTAATGTATGGATGATTGATTTTGCGAAATCGATTCCGGTGGAAATAGACTCAGTAAACCATAGGCGAGAATGGGTTTTTGGTAATCATGAAGATGGCTATTTTGTAGGACTCGACAATCTTATTGAGGTATTTTGGTTTTAGCAGATTTTTAAAACTTCTAATATTTACGAAGAGTGATACTTCTTATTAAATGAGAAGGCCGTCTTAAATTTTATTTCGCTCCCATTTTTTCTAATATAGACATTGTACATTTGTACTATAAGCATAGCTATATGCATTGTAATTATTATTTTGGTTTTTGCTTACTTTAGTTGTCGATTCGGATCGTATTTTATTGGCGCGAAATTATAATTATTGAGTTTTTCAGATTATGGAAGAACTGGTTTTATGACTTATTCGGATGATTTTGGAAATTCAGAATTTTGTTCATCATACTTTGCAGAGTTCTTGGTTTTTGTAGTGCAAATGAAAATCCATTCAGGCTCGACATCTAACGGTCTTTATAAAATTCTCTTGAGATGTACAGGACGATATCGAACATACATTGAGTTCTCGAACAAATAGGATTTTTCTTGTCGAATGTGGAAAAATTAGACTATTCCACTATTTTGTTTATGTATGGGTTCCTTTTATACATCTTTAAATAGTAAAACGTCCAAAATAACATACTATTTACCTCAGTCATTTTATATGTGGCTTATCATTTATCGGGAAATATCACATAGATATCTTACTTTTCAATATTATGTGTTCTTTTCACTAACACTCTAACTAGCGAATATCTTGAAATAATGTCATCCTGGATCTCCTATATTTTTTGCATGTGGAGATGCACTATATTGCTACATGTTCCTGTTGCATGCGGATGATGCACTGGGTTATTAGCTGCAAACAGTTTGCGAATTAATTTTCTGCTAATAATTCGCCATTTTCTTTGCTGTTTTCGCACTACTATTATTTCTCTGATGATGGACATTCACTTGTATTTTTCATCTTCAACTCTTGTTATGTTCTGAGTGCTGAAAAGTTCCCGGAAACTGTGCAGATTTGTTGGAGACCTTTTTAAGCCTGTGTACAGTTTTCCCAGTGCCCTCAAATTATTCTATTGCTGGGGTAATCATCACGTTATTCAGTGGGAAATGTTGATTTATGTTTTCTTTTCTCGTTAATGTTACAATACGTTTTGCACCATTCTGATGTTCCCGAAACCATCACTCCTCTTTTTAAAAATAATTTTTTGCATTTTTGATTTCCAAAAACTAGAATCGATTTCAATTTGAGACTAATGCTCCTGCATTACGCCTTTCCAAGTTGAGCTTTTGGTTGTCAAAGTGCATCCGAGCAATCTATATCTCACATTGTTCAATATTAAAAATTATTTTCTGGAATAGTGCTGTAACTATCCAAAAGAGCTTACCACTGTTTTAATTGAAAGCCTCTACTTTTCCCGTAAATAGCCTTACCTTTCTTTTTTTTTTTCCTCTCTGCCAGTGTGTTTATTATTTTCTTTTCAACAAATCTCTTATTTTACAAAATTATAGATTTTGTAGCATAATTTCACACGAGAAACAATCGATACGTTTATCGTGGAAATTTTTTTTATCGCGATATAACTCTATTTTGTTAATTGAAAAAAGGGGGTTAATATTTTTAAAGTTTGACTTACGTACATTTCTATCGCGTAGCGGATTGTATTGTGAATGTACGGCCAGTTGAAAGTTTTATTATAATCCGTATGTCAAGTAGCATGGAACGATTTCCAATATGTGATTAAGAGTGAATATCGAGGAAGTATTGTAGATACAAGTCCGAGGAATATTGCGAGAGGAATTATCAAGCTAATCAGTCTATCCCCTCCTATTCAAAATTGAGGATTATATATGTTAAAAGATGGGAATGGTTTACATTAAACATCGTAACAAGATCTAATGAG